GGGAGGAGATGGAAAGGCTATGGTTAGCACTGGATCAAGGATGCCTTGGCTTCCCTTAGGCTTTTCTGCAGCAGTAATAGCCTCTTTCCAGCATTAATCCATGTTCTTCTGCTTATGTGGACCTTCCAGAGTTTATCTGATCCAAACAGTGGAACTGCAGCTTAACAACTGTCTAGAACTCAGCAGGGTCACAGCAGCCATCGTGTGAGTAGTTGTGGCTGGGACATGCACCAGGTCCTTCCCTTTTCCTGCCAGACTTTTTTTGCATGCTAACCCATGTTACATTTGCTGGAGACTGGGAGCAGTGGGATGTGGGATGTGCATGTCCATGGGATGCCCACCCTGCCCACAGAGCCCACGGAGTCACTTGAGAAAATGCCTGAGCCTGCAGAAAGGGCAGGACTTGCCTTAGTGTGAAGATCCACTGGTGGGAACCCAGAGACCACCTCCCAGACACCACCTGTGCCAGAGAGTGCTTTCCAAGCAGAAACAAAAAGAACCACTCAAGAATATGGGGAACATCAAACTGCCATCCACCTCAATCTCCTGCCTACCAAGCTGTGCTGCTCTGGGGCCATGGGAAGGAGGCCCAGAGGGGGACCCTGAATACCAGCCTCACCCCAGCCCTTCCCCCTTCTCCCAGTGGCCTGTTTGAAGCTGTGGCTGCTCAGATGCTGAGCTGCACTTTGGTGCCTACTCAGAGCTAACAGAAGGTTGTTAAGAGTCCATGTCTGGACTCTGCCCAGCACTGGTAACCTTCCAGCTACTTGCTGGAGGCAGGGGTGTGTTGTAGACAAGGAGAGACCCTCTGCAGTGAATATGGGGCACCCTGGCATGGCTGCATGGTGGACTGTGGCAGGAGTCAGCTGCATGACTTCAGTACAAGGTCATGGTGATCCATGAGCAGCTGGGAACAGAGCCAGGGCCCATTAGAACCCAACCTCCCATTTCCTCTGGAGCTTCTGGGAAGCCTCAGCCACCCATAACCTTGCTGTTCTCCAGGTGATTGTCACCACAAGCATAAACCAAGTAGTTAGTGACTTATTGGGTGATTTGTCATGGGTTGGTGTAGGCTCAGTTTGCCTGCAGACCTCACGTGCACATGACAGCCTCTATCCATGTGTATGCACTGGAGGATGGATCCAACAGGAGACCTAAAAGACTCAGAGGGGTTGGGAGGCTGTGAGAGGCTTGGATCTGTCCTCCTGGCTCTGCTCAGGCCAGTACACTGGGAGCTGGGAGCTGATGGTCTCTTTGGCTCAGTCTGTGCATGCTTCCCCAGTGGGAGACCAGGCCAGGGAAGAACATTCCTAGGAGTTCAAATATCGACTCCTCAGCCTTTCTTCCAGATATAAACATCCCAGTTAGACTTCACAGAGGGCAAAACAGAGCAGGCACAAAGCAGTAGTTTATACATCAGAACAGAAATGTTGTGGGTTGTTGTTGTTTTGTTTTTTTTTAATAATAACAATATAAATAGATTAAAGTTAGGAGGGATGGATGGGACATCACACTAAGGTTTGCCAACATTCCCTACTCAGGCCTGCCTTGGAACCACATGGAGCTTCCTGTCTTCTGGCTGCATATCACTGTGCCAAGCCTTAGCTGTTTGACTGGAATTTAGCTGGAGTGGTGTCTGGTTCCTGCTGGAGTTTTTGGATGGTGGGGAGGTGGGGAATTTCAGCCCAAGCTCTTTAGCTTGTTTTTAAAAACTGGACTCAAAACAAGTCCCATTATATATGTCATGTTAAGAAGAAGGCCAGCAAAGCTCTCTTAGAAAGGTTCCTCCAAAGATTGGAGCATTGGCTGTGTTGCATGGCTGTGTTGCATGTCCATGTTGTGAAACTACCATGGGAAAGCCAAAATTTGGCCCATCTTAGATTTTCAGTATTAGCCAAGGTTACAGTGTGGTCATACTCAGGAGAGGCTTGGTAGTTTTGTGGGCAAATTCCTTGAAGATGCAGCATTGGCTTGACCCTGCTATTGGTGCTCGGGAAGACCTGTGCCTGGGACTGATTTTCTGTGCTAGATTTGTTGGGGAAGAGATTTGCAGGTCTTTCCTCATAGTTTGGCATGGCAGAAAAAGCAGGAGGAGACTTGACCCACACGTGTGAACCTGAGGACTGTTCCAGAGGCTTGTTTTGACCTCCCTTAGGAGGGCTCAGCTCCTGCAGTTGGGATGCTGGACCACAGGAGGCTGATGTGCTGGTGTCCCAAAAATCTAGGCTGGCCTTCCTCTTGTCAGGGAAAGGCAGGCTGGCTGAGAGAGAGGATGGAGGCCTGCAGGGGCAAGCCCAAGAGAAGGTGTGAGCAAATCCCTCCTCTTGGACTTGAATCACAGAATCACAGAATGATGGGGGTCGGAAGCTCTGAAGATCATCAGTCCAACCCCCCTGCCAGAGTAGGACCAAAAACTAGGGCAGATGTCTCAGAAAAGCATCTAGACAGGTCTTGAAAGTCTCCAGAGAAGGAGACTCCACAACCTCTCTGGGCAGCCTGTCCCAGGGCTCTTTAACCCAGTAAAGTAACTCAGTAAAGAAGTTCTTCCTCATGTTGAAGTGGAACTTCCCATGCTCAAGTTTTGACACAGGTATCTGCTGCCAGTCCCTTCCATGGGCTCTTTCCAGCCACTGAAAAGCAGGTGGCACATCTGGGACCTGATCCACCCAGCCTGAAGTAGACCTCAACAGTACACAATGCATGGGCAATAGTGTCCTGTCTGTTTCCATCACCTCTCTGGCTGGCCTGGCCTGCTAGCTCAGGCACTTTTCTGTAGGTGACACTCCATCTAAGGTGACCAGGCATACTCCTCCAGCCTGGAGTCACCTCCCAGAGAGGCATCACTGTTCCCTTGCCAGTCTGCATTGTACAATACACTCCGCAAGGGAAATGTCACTACATCAAGGACTTTGAGAGCTCTGATTTGTTTGCCATTAGCTCAAAGACCTCTAAGCTGGCTCTTGGTTTGTTGGTGAGGCTGGGGAGGACTGTTGGGCTCCATCTGCAGTACAGGTGTCTCCCTGTACAGGTGTGGTGGATGGAGCTGGACAGTCAGTGGGCTCATTGTCAGGTTTCTCCTGAAGCCTGCAAAGGTCAGGCAGCCCATGGAGCAGCAGCAGGGTGGCAGGAGATCAGCAGGGTTCTCCTCTCTGGCCAGGATCTCACTTCTCCTGGTCTCTTGTTGCAGGCAGGGGTTGCATGTCAGTCGGGAGCGCCCGGTTGTGCCTCGAGTGATGGGCACGGGGAGGCTGCATGTCCTGTGACTGTAGGGGAGGCCCATGGATGCACATCCATAAGAGGTAAAACCACCAGCATTGCCTCGAGGAGGGACCTGCCCCATCTCACCACCCTGGCATGTGCACCCTTGAGGAGCATTTCTCCCCCAGGCTGTTCCATGTGGGACTCTGAGCCTACTGTGTCTCCCAGCTGTGGGGAGCAGGACACAGAGAGCTGGCCAGATCCTAGGTCCAAGATTGCCTGGGCTGGGGGACTGGAGCAGAGTCAGCCCAGGATTGGGGTTCCCCTCAGGATCTGTCCTGCTCAGCCAGCAGCTCAGCCTGTTCCCATGTGGCTCTGCCTGTTCCCAGACCACAGAGGGGTGTTTGGGGTCCAATACCACCTCTCTCTTTGTTCCTTGCCCAGGAGGACTCAGCAGCAGGGGGGAGGCTGCTGGCAAATCCAGGACCTCCAGGAGGTGAGGGGCTGTAAGACCAGAGCCAGCTGCTGCCCAACACCTCCTGTTACCAAGAATCATAGAATGGTTTGGATTGGAAAGGACCTTGTGCTCTGCACTAGGCAAACAATTATTTTGCTGCCCAAGGGAACTGCAGCTCAGTGGGTCAGAGCCCCCAGAGCCCATCACTGACATCTGGCCACTCTCACAGCTCCTCAGAGGTGATGTGCAGCCCCTGCTTTAGAGGGAGGGAAGGTGAGGCTGTGTGAGGTGAAGACAAATCTCGTTTTAAAACAAACCCAGCTGTTATCAGACCTCAGCATGAGCCCCATACAGAAACTTCTGCTTCCAGAAGAGAGAAGTTCTGGTGGCACCACGGCCCAGGCTGCAGCTGCAGGGGTTACAGCTGAGAGAACTTGCAGAGAACTGTGGGGCCACAGCTCAGGAAGCTGTTTGCAAACCTGGCAAACTTGGCACTGGTGGGTGTGTTCACCAATAAGGCACCTTTTACCAAAAAGCCACTTGTTCCATTTGGTGCAAACCAGCATCCTCCCCTTGCCTGAAGAGAAGAGCATCTCAGGGTGGATTTGATAAGAAGGCTTTTGCCAGGGTCTTGGCTGGCAACTTAGGACACTCTTCAGCAGAACTTGTGTGTTAGAAAAATTAGATGTTACTATTTATAGAAAGCTTCTCTTTATATAAGAGAAAATATATAAATATAGATATCTATAGAAAGATTACTTTTTATATAAGCTTCTTTCTAAAGCAGCTCTGCAGAACTGCAGTCAGC